ATTGTCTACCGCCAAAAGGCAGTTAGCAGCTGCTGCTGTGTTGCAATGCAGTCCCACGCCTGCCGGGACCCAGAGGACATATGGTGACGGTGAGCTCAGCTGAGCTGAGTGGGCTCCATGTTGTCTGCACAGGTAACCCAGGTAAATAGGCGCGAATCTATTGTCTGCCGTTGCTGTGACGAGGGGGGAGGGGCCTGACGACATGTACCCAGAACCGCCCGCGACACTGTTTTGCATCATCCGGGCATTGGGATCTCAACCCAGAATTCCAAGGGGCGGCGGAGACTGCGGGAACTGTGGGATAGCTGTCGGATAGCTACCCATAGTGCAATGCTCCGGAAGTCGACGCTAGCCTCGTACTGTGGACACGGTCCGCCGACTAGAGCACCTAGAGCATTTTATGTGTGGACACACACAATCGGCTGTATACAACCGATTTCAATAAAACCGGCTTCTATAAATTCGAACTAATTTCGTAGTGTAGACATACCCTAAGGAAGTTCTTAGGGTAACTGAGGATGCCTTAAGTCTTGGAATGATTTCTATCTTCCATTTATAAGAGCATAAAAAGAGACAAGATCAGAGACAGAAGGAGCTAAATCATGGAGGGCCCTGAAGGTGAGAAAGGATTGCCTGTATTTGATTCACAGAGCAATATGCTGACAGGAAAGGAATTTTAAGAAGGGTCGATTATGTTCATAGCACTGATCAAAATGGATTTACACAGTAAGTTTTGGACTTATCTGTTTATGCACTCAGGGACACACAAATTAAAAGTGTGATATTCCAGTACCTATCTTGAATTGGTCATCCTTTCTGCTTTGAGTTTTTGAGTAATTTATCAAGTTTGTTTTAACCTGGCTCTAATTTTTTACAATTAATATGTATTCCCCAAGGTAGCATTCCACGTAAATGTACTTTCCTTCACCCAGTCCTCTCCCATAATCTCACTGGATTCAGTTTATTGAGAGGGAGTTTTTGTTAGGTTTATAGTAAGCCAAAATAAACTGATTGTTTAAGGCTGACTCAAATTATTTATACCAAGAATGAGTCCCACCAGAGATAGCAAAAGGAGATGCAACCATACAAGTTATCTAAACTATGTTTTCTCAACAAGAGACAACCCAATAATTTAGTGTTAAAACAAATTAAAATCTTAACTGACAATATAAGTACCTTTAATCTTTCTGGAAAAACATTAAAAGAATGTTTCAAGTCCATCTTATTTAACAAAATTTCTCTGAAATGGACATGTAGACCTAGGAAGCATAGTAGCAAGATAATTATCTTGTGACCCTATTAATGGAAGCCCAAAATCACCCATTAAGGCAAAGATTTTCACTAGAGGATGAGTGTCAAACATGGAATTTGTCCCTCTAACTCTACTTATGGCTAACTGCTGTTGATTATCATCATTAAAGATGGCTGCAGAAGGAAGGAGGGAGTGTCATGCTTTTCATGAGCTGTCATTTTATATAGGACTATTCTACTCTTATCAGTAAATCTGCTGCTAAAATCACCTTTGCAACGCTTGCTTTTGACAGATAATTATACAGATATAAAATATTCTATTCTGGATTATAAATATTCTATTCTAGATTTTCAAGAAATCATGAACAAAATTAAGTCTACTTTGCAGCTATTTTATTAATTTCAGATCTAAAGAAAAAACCATGAACACTAAAGGTTTTCAAGTGAAAAGTGCATAGTACAAATTTTAATATTCATAACTCATGAAGAGTAGAAGTAAAGCATCACAATGGAACTCCTACCAATAAATAAATAAATAAATAAATAAAATCACACAGTAACATGATGTTCACATTAACAACAAAAAAATCATTGAGTTCTAATAAAATGGAAAAATCCAACAGGTCTGAATACCCGTTAATAATTCTGCATGAGGACATTAAAAAATAACCAATTTTTTAATTCGTTCTTTAAAACACTTCCACCTAGCAAAAATATGATTAAATATAAGACTTTTCACTGGAGTCCATGTTTTGCATGCGCACACACCAAATTATATATTATCTACCATAAAGACCAGTTTAGTAAAATAGTAAGACATTTATAAACATTTTTCCACAACTTTATTTTTAAAGTTGCATTTACCTTTTGGTGAATAAAAAGTCTTCAAATGTGCTGGCTAGTTCTGGCCACATACTGTCAAATTTTCCAGAAGAGGCATGCTGCCTTGCAACTGGCAGTCCAATAGAGAGAACTTTAAGAAGAGAAGATACTGCTAGTTTCCAAGTGCTTTCAGAGGGGCAGGCATACTTCAAGCTCAGAGGTATCCTCTGTGTCTGTGAAGAGAAAGTTCAAGTAAGCTTTATACTTCCTTGAAGAAACATAAGAGCCAGATACATCTATGGTAAAGAAAATCTCCGCAGGAGATCTCTAAAGATATGTTACACACAAAAAAAGTACATTTCCCTCCATTTTCTGGTGGGACTTGGGATGGTCTCTTCTAAATATGATTATTAGATTACTGATTGTATGCCAGCTGGCTAAAGCACAGATCTGATTAACCAAATTCAAGGTTAGAAGCGTTAAGAGTTAATCTATTTGCAATTACATTGGAAAATTACCTGCTAATTTTCTTTTTCTAGACTACATCTATTGTCTCTGCTAATCCTGACAAATTGGTTCCTGTTCCCTCTGCAAATAAATTGGGGGTAGTTCATCACTATGAGGAGGCTCTGAAGAAGTTAGCCCTGTCTACTTTGGAAGAACTGTTGTGATTACATGAATTTGAAGAAAAGGCCATAAGGAATTCAAACTTCTTGCAAAATGTAAAAAAATGAACTATATATATCATCCATGTGAAGTATCTGGTCATTATTAAAAATAAGAGGAGACATCTTAAAAAGGCCAACAAACTGTTAAAGGTGGAACGGAGCAACAGAGATGTCATCCTGAGAAACAAAATTAGCAGGGATAAGATTTTCCATTCTCTGTCATATGACCTTTGCTAATCCCAATGAGTGGGAATATAGCAAGTAATTAAATAATTTAAAAAGGAACAGATAGAGAGGAGTTGGAAGGAAGACTGAAATGTGAGAGCAGTGCTGCCAAGTAAACGGGAAGTTGTTTTAGAGACCATCAGCTGGAGCACCATTCTGCCACAGAATGCAGATGTGGAATCCTGAAGTCGCAGTGCCTTGCAAACAGAGAGAGAGGGGGGGGGGGGGGATATTGCTGCTTTAAAGATTTCTTCTGCAGATGCTGAAGTTCTCTCTCTGCCCAGAATGTACTCACACATCTGGTGGAAGGGTCAAGAATATATTCCCAAGGCTTTGTACATTTCAATGATACAACATTTAGGGTATGATTTTCAGAAGTGCTCAGGGTTGTGCTATCTGCTCTAATTAAATCAATGGTTAAATTCCCATTGATTTCAGTGGAAGCAGTTATGCCATGTTTTGTTCAGAATTACGAACATTTCAGAGTAACGGACAACCTCCATTCCCGAGGTGTTCATAACTCTGAGGTTCTACTGTATAAATTTAAACAAATGATCTTACTTCAGTTTACTAAGGTTAAAGAACCCATAATGTGATGATTTGGAAAATCTGTCTTTGAACGGTTTATGAATTTAGGTTGATCATCCAGACAAGGGACAATGAAGGGTTGCTAAACCTTGACGGTTGTCCATTCATATGTGAGTAACTTCTGGTAAAGGGCTGGCTGAATCTAGGTGACCCGGTCTTCTTCCAACTCCAAGGGCTAGCATTTGAAGGAATGGAATTTCAATAGAAGCAGAACTGAGAGATCAAGTTTTAAAACCACATAGCCTGAGAGACTTAGGGGTGGGGAAGAGGACTCAGAGAAAGTACTCTCAGGAAGAACAAAGGAACAGATTTTTGGAGAAAGAGGAGACATCTTTGACAGGAGGATCAGCCAAGATAAAAGGAAGCTGGCTGGAGGACAAAGACTCCATGATTTGTAAGAGAAGCCTGAATGTAGGGATGGAATCCAAAAGAGGAGACCTAGAACCTCAAAAAGTTATCTCCAGTTTGTGAGGAACATGCCAGAGTAGTGAGGAAAGTGAGGCAGGGGATGGTGTACAAATGTTTTATTTTTTTTACTACATGTATATTTCTCATGCTGTCTAAAGCAAAGCGGGATTGGTTTTAGAACCTTTGCAAATTCTGTATGTTAGGTGCTTCCCCATCACATGTTCCTGAAGGGAAACCAGTAAGCCAGAGTTTCCACAAGTTTTGAGAAAGTGTGTGTTTAAGCCAGTGGGGAATCTGGGAGTGTGGGGGAGTCTGGCACTGGTCACAGGGCCTAGGCAGTTGCACTGTGGAATCTCCGCTCTCAGAAGGTGGTGCTAGATGAAGGATCTGCACCGCGAATGTGTGTCTAGAGATTCAAAGACAATGGCAGTGCCAGGGCTCTGTTCAGAATCAGGAAGCTTAAAAAAAAAACAGCCCCAGCATGTGGACCCAAACTAGTGGCCTCCGAGTATACAGCAGGGAGAGCTTTACCAGGGCTGTGACATACACCTTCCCCCTTAATCTCCACCACAGGTTCTTAAAACACCAATTTGATTGTCTATAGCTTAAACTCTGCAGAAAGAGTTCAAGTAGTATTTGTGACACTGCACCCCATATTCTTCATAGTGATATTATATATTATATGATTATGACATAATTATGATGCTTTTTGGACAAGATGGGTCATGTAAGGAGTCATTAGAAAAATTATGGTTTGCTGAATATGATTATCCCATTTGTATGCATGTATCATTTTTGTATCGAAAGTTATGAATACTGACTATGTATCTGTATTTCACATGTAGTCACACCTGGGGCAATGCCCACTTTCAGACTAGATAGCTGGCTAGGAAGGACCTATTCATAGGTTACAAACAGCTGCAGCCAGCAAAGAGAGCTGTAAACAGGGGAGTTTGAGTGGGAGTTGGGGGGGAAAGACTAGAACTAGGCAGAGGAACAGACAGGCTAGCGAAGAGAGTGTGTGGTGTTCTGGCAGTGTTGTGGTGCTCATTGGGGATTTGTTTTGCGGTAGGTGGTGGTGTTTTGGTTTGGTTTGTGTTTCCTGGACTAACAGGACTTAGGTGGGAAGACTATGACAGATACAGAGGCAGCAGTGGTAGTGACCCAAGCAGTGAAAGACACAATGAAGATGACTGGATGTGGAAGCTGCAGTATGTACATGATCCTGAAGCGGGTACCTGAAAAGAGTTTTATCTGCATGAAGTGTCGCCTGATAGAGCTGATGGAAGAAAAGATCCGAGGACTGGAGATGCAGGTGGAAACTCTGAGTTTAGAAGGGGGTTAGAGCAGATGATGGAGCAATGACATAAGGAGGCTGAAGGGAAAAGCTCAGACTTGCAGATAGAAGCAGGACCAAAGAACTCTGAGGGGAGACTGCTGGGTGAGGAAAGTGGACAATGGAAGCATGTGACTAAGAGAACCAGGCAGAGGAAAAGACAGGCTAGTGAAGGAGAAATAGAGCTCAGGAACAGGTTTGCAGAGTTGGAAAATGAAGAAGGGGCGCAGCAGGTGGTCACTGAAGGTGGAAGGGCAAGGAAAAAGAGAAGAGCAGCTAGTTCTATAGGAAGAGGGAAAGAGTCAATGGAGATAACACCACCAAAGATGAGCCCCAGGAAGATACAGGATGGGTTACAGAGGATTGCAAGGGAGAATAGGAATCGAGAGGACTTGCAGCCAGAGGGAACAGGGGATAGACCAGAGAATTGCACCATCACCAGGAAAGGGTAGGTCTACATGATTGGGGACTCCTTACTGAGAAGAATAGACAGGCCTGTAACCAGAGCTGATCCAGAGAACAGAAGGGTGTGCTATCTGCCGGGTGCTAAGATACGGGATGTGGACCTGAGGCCGAAGAGGATCCTAACAAGAGCGGGAAAGAATCCACTGATTGTCCTTCAGATGGGAACAAATGATACAGCTAGATTCTCGCTGGAACATATCAAGGGAGACTATGCCAGGCTGGGGAAGATGCTTAAGGAAATTGAGGCTTAGGTGATCTTCAGTGGGATTCTGCCTGTTCCTAGAGAAGGGCAACAAAGGTGTGACAAGATGATGATCAACAGATGGCTATAAGGAGGGCTTTGGGATGTATGGCCACTGGGAGGCATTCATGGACAGAGGACTATTCTTTCAGGATGGACTTCACCTGAGTAGAGAGGGAAATAGACTTTTAGGATGGAGGCTGGCACAACTGATTAAGAGAGCTTTAAACTAAGAATCTGGGGGAGATGGTTGGGAGATGTCCTGGTAATCTCCACGCTGGATTTTAACATTGAGAGGGAAGAAAACAAAGTAAGAAAGGATACAGCCGTGGGTAGGAGAATGGACATAATGAGGAAGGGTAGTGTAGATACCAGTCTAATAGGTGATACTGGCGGTAGAATGTCTGTGCCTAATCAGGTAAAGAATGTGAGTGAAGCCAAACAGTAAAAATTAAGATGTTTGTACATCAGTGCGAGGAGCCTAGGTAACAAAATGGAGGAACTAGAGTTACTGATGCAGGAAGTGAAACTAGATATTATAGGGATAACAGAAACACAGGGGAATAGTAGTCATGACTGAAGTACAGGTATTGAAGGGTATGTGTTGTTTAGGAAAGACAGAAATAAAGGCAAGGGTGGTGGAGTAGCATTGTATATCAATGATGAGGTAGACTGTAAAGAAATAAGAAGAAGTGATGGAATGGATAAGACAGTCTGTCTGGGCAAAAATCACATTGGGGAAGAAAGCTATTAGAGCCTCCCCTGGGATAGTGCTTGGGGTGTGCTATAGGCCACTGGGATCTGATTGGGATATGGATAGAGACCTCTTTAATGTTTTTAATGAAGTAAATACTAATGGTAATTGTGTGATCATGGGAGACTAACTTCCCAGATATAGACTGGAGGACAAATGCTAGTAATAATAATAGGGCTCAGATTTTCCTGGATGCGATAGCTGATGGATTCCTTCACCAAGTAGTTGCTGAACCAACAAGAGGGGATGCCATTTTAGATTTGGTTTTGGTGAGTAGTGAAGACCTCATAGAAGAAATAGTTGTAGGGGACAACCTTGGTTCAAGTGATCATGAGCTAATTCAGTTCAAACTAAATGGAAGGATAAACAAAAATAGATCTGGGACTAGGGTTTTTTTATTTCAAAAGGGCTAACTTTAAAAAATTAAGGAAATTAGTTAGGGAAGTGTATTGGACTGAAGAACTTGTGGATCTAGAGGCAGAGGAGGCCTGGAATTACTTGAAGTCAAAGTTGCAGAAACTATCAGAAGCCTGCATCTCAAGAAAGGGGAAAAATTTTATAGGCAGGAGTTTTAGACCAAGCATCTACAACCAGAGAGGTGATTAAGAAAAAGCAGAAAGCCTACAAGGAGTGGAAGATGGGAGGGATCAGCAAGGAAAGCTACCTTATTGAACATGTAGGGATAAAGTGAGACAAAGGCCAAAAACCATTTAGAGTTGGACCTTGCAAAGGGAATTAAAACCAATAATAAAAGGTTCTATAGCCATATAAAGAAGAAGAAAACAAAGAAAGAAGAAGTGGGACCAATAAGCACTGGGGATGGAGTGGAGGTTAAGGATAATCTAGGCATGGCCCAATATCTAAACAAATACTTTGCTTCAGTCTTTAATGAGGCTAATGATGAGCTTAGGGATAATGGTAGGATGACAAATGGGAATGAGGATATGGAGGTAGATATTACCACATCTGAGGTAGAAGCTAAACTCGAACAGCTTATATGGGACTAAATCGGGGGGCCCAGATAATCTTCATCCAAGAATATTAAAGGAACTGGCGCATGAAATTGCAAGTCTTTTAGCAAGAATTTTTAATGAATCTGTAAACTCAGGGGTTGTATCGTATGACTGGAGAATTGCTAACATAGTTCCTATTTTTAAGAAAGGGGAAAAAAGTGACCTGGGTAACTACAGGCCTGTTAGTTTGACATTTGTAGTATGCAAGGTCTTGGAAAAATTTTGAAGGAGAAAGTAGTTAAGGACATTGAGGTCAATGGTAATTGGGACAAAATACAACATGGTTTTACAAAAGATAGATCATGCCAAACCAACCTGATCTCCTTCTTTCAGAAGGTAACAGATTTTTTTAGACAAAGGAAACGCAGTGGATCTAATTTACCTTGATTTCAGTAAGGCATTTGTATGGTTCCACAGGAGGAATTATTAGTTAAATTGGAAAAGATGGGGATCAATATAAAAATTGAAAGGTGGATAAGGAACTGGTTAAAGGGGAGACTACAATGGGTCATACTGAAAGGTAAACTGTCAAGCTGGAGGGAGGTTATTAGGGATCGGTTTTGGGACCAATCTTTTTATTACTGACCTTGGCACAAAAAGTGGGAATGTGCTAATAAAGTTTGCGGATGAAACAAAGCTGGGAGGTTTTGCCAATAAAGAGAAGGGCTGGGATATCATACAGGAAGATCTGGATGACTTTGTAAACTGGAGTAATAGTAATAGGATGAAATTTAATAGTGAAAAGTGCAAGGTCATCCATTTAGGGATTAATAACAAAAATTTTGGCTATAAAGTGGGGATTCATCACTGGGAAGTAACAGAGGAGAAGGACCTCGGACTATTGGTTGATCACAGGATGACTATGAGCCGCCAATGTGATATGGCCGTGAAAAATGCGGTCTTGGGATGAATTAGGCAAGGTATTTCCAGTAAAGATAAGGAGGTGTTAGTACCATTATACAAAGCACTGGTGAGACCTCATTTGGAATACTGTGTGCAGTTCTGGTCTCCCATGTTTAAGAAGGATGAATTCAAACTGGAACAAGTACAGAAAAGGGCTACTGGGATGATCCGAGGAATGGAAAACCTGTTTTATGAAAGGAGACTCAAAGAGCTTGGCTTGTTTAGCCTAACCAAAAGAAGGCTGAAGGGATTATGATTGCTCTCTATAAATATATCAGAGGGATAAATACCAGGGAGAGAGATGAACTATTTCAGCTCAGTACCAATGTGGACACAAGAACAAATGGATATAAACTGGCCATCAGGAAGTTTAGACTTGAAATTAGACGAAGGTTTCTAACCATCAGAGGACTGAAGTTCTGGAACAGCCATCCAAGGGGAGCAGTGGGGGCAAAAGACACATCTGGCTTTAAGATTAAGCTTGTCAAATTTATGGAGGGGATGCTATGATCGGATAGCCTAATTTTGGCAATTAATTGATCTTTGACTATTAGTGGTAAATATGCCCAATGGCCTGTGATGGGCTGTTAGATGGGGTGGGATCTGAGTCACTACAGGGAATTCTTTTCTGGGTGTCTGGCTGGTGAGTCTTGCCCACATGCTCAGGGTTTAGCTGATCGCCATATTTGGGGTCGGGAAGGAGTTTTCCTCCAGGGTAGATTGGCAGAGGTTTTTCGCCTGGGGGTTTTTCGCCTTCCTATGCAGCGTGAGGCACAGGTCACTTGCTGGAGGATTCTATGCACCTTGAAGTCTTTAAACCATGATTTGAGGACTTCAATAGCTCAGATATAGATTAGGGGTTTATTACAGGAGTGGGTGGGTGAGATTCTGTGGCCTGCATTGTGCAGGAGGTCAGACTAGATGACCATAATGGTCCCTTCTGACCTTTAAGTCTATGACTCTATGGTAATGAGCCATTAGGAAAAACAGTAGGCCTTAGGAGAAGCCTTCCTGGGAACATTCCAGACTGCTCTAAGTAATGGCTGCTATGACTCTACAAGGGCAGGTAACCAGACCACATGAATCTGGACTCCATCTCGGGATGTCTGTATTTTTCGACAAACTGGCTGGGAACTGGTTTTGGAACAAAGGGTTCCCACCATATGCTAAAGCTATATAAGGCAGGGAGTGACATCATCGGTTGTTCTTCATTAACCACACAAGACGATTCCTGGAACCATCCGAGGAACAAGAACTGAACTGTGGGAAGTGCTGGACCTAGACTAAAAGGATTTCTAGCCTGTGTATGAAAACCTGGGGATTCCAAGCTGCAAAGCAAGTATAGCCTGTGCCTTAAGAATCTGAAGCCAGTGTGTATCATCAGCCTGGGTGAAAATTTGCTAATTCGTATCCTATGTTTCTAGTATCTTAGGCTTAGTTTGCATTTTTGTTTATTTACTAGGCAATCTGCTTGGATCTGTGTGCTCTCTCTTAAATAAGAGCATAAGAATGGCCATACTGGGTAAGAACAAAGGTCCATCTAGTCCAGTATCTTGTCTTCCGACAATGGCCAATGCCAGGTGCCCCAGAGGGAATGAACAGAACAGGTAATCATCAAGTGATCCATTCCCTGTATCCCATTCCCAGCTTCTGGCAAACAGAGGTTAGGGGCAACATCCCTGCCCATTCTGGCTAATAGCCATTGATGGACCTATCCTCCACAAATTTATCTATTTCTTTTTTGAAATGTATCTTTTGTAGTTAATAAACTTGTTTTTGCTGTATCTAAACCAGTGACTGAGCAAAATGCATGGGAAATTGTAGCTCAAGGGGCAAAGGCTGATGCATATTCCTCTCCACATTTTTTTTGGGGTGGGGTGGGAGGGAGGAGACCCTCTATGACCTTACGTTGTACAGTTCCCTGTGCAGCACAGGATGGTATAATTCTGGGTTTATACTCCCATGGGGGAAAGGGGGTCCTAGGCGGAAGGTTTGTGGTTATTTTGGCTGTAGCCTTTTTATTGTTGATTCATGCAGAGGCTGGTCAGAGAGCCTGCATGTAACTGCAGCTGGATGTGTCCCTACCTGTGTGAATGCTGGTGGAAGTATAGGACCAGGAATGGCTCTGCAGCTTGTCAAAGCAGCACAGAGTGAGAGGGAGCCTAGGCTGGTGGGTCAGAGGACTCAGTGGTACCCCAGTTTCATGTGGCACCCCGGGGGAAACCCATGACAGTACTATCTACACTGTTCCCTAATGGCTCCAAATAAAAGTCAGTACTTTAGTTCATAAACAGAATGAAAACTTTTTACCTTAATAATGTTCTGAAGAACTTTCTCATTAACTACAGCTTTGTGGCAAGCAGTCTTTTGGTATAAATCCACCACAACTTCCAAAGATCTCTCAGCAAATGGTACGTAATTCAATGCTACCCATTCTGCCTAGAAAAATAAAATTAGTACACTACTGAAGAAAACATGAAAAAACACTAGTTATGTAATAGAAAACTTACATTTTACATTTACCTGTTTTAAAGCATGCAAGATTCTCAAGAATACTGTATATTTCATAATGTAACAGTTTTGATCCAAGCAAAAAATAGTTTATGAAGAAAAAAACATAACATTCTGAGTAAGAGAGCTTGAAATAGATTTGGGTAAGGTAAATTTTAGTAGGTCAAGTGTTGTATTTTATGCAAAACTACTATATTAGGACAATCTTAAGGAAATTTAACTCACCGGTGCAAATAGTTGTATCTAGTGGGATTCCATTGTGTACCAGGACAAACAGAATAAGAAAAATTAATACATATATAACAATTACCTCAAATTATATTAAATTATATTTTCATGCTTACTGAAAACCATCAGTATGTGCATGGATTTAAAGAAATTTTATTGTGTTCTATTTCTCCACAGCATACAAGATTCAAAAATTGTCCACTACCGTGGAAGAATTTTTCAGAATAAGGTTACTTTAAGTCCAATTAAATTTTTAATATAAAACAAAGCAAGATAGTTATGTCAGATTCCCTGGGAAGATTCAGATTTATTGTGTCTGATGTTCGTTAAAAGCTTTTCCTTTAGGGAGGAATGGAAAGTTTGAATAGGAAAGAAAATTTCTGTAGAGGATGAAAATGCCTGCAAAAACTAAATAATAATAAATTAATTGATAGCACAAGATGTACAGAAAGTTTTTCCAGATGGGGGAAAATGGATGTGTCTTGGTAAGCCACATCCATCTGAAGCTGAAAGGACTGTTCACAAGATGATATATTCAAAACAGAACAGATATGATACCTAAGAAATTACCTGATTATATTTTGCATTTGCAATGTGTTTCATTTCCAGCTGTCCATATTGTGGCGGTTTACAGGAGAATTCTACAAATGCCAAAAGCTGATCAAAGATTGCTGGATACATTATTTGCATGTTTTCTGAACCTACACATATGGCCTATAAAAACCAAAAGCCAAACATTATAATACAATATTTATCCCATGAAATTTCAGCATTTAAGAACTGCACCAATATTAAGAGCTTTTAAAGAGGCTCTTAATATTGGTGCAATATACTCTCAGAATATACTTTACAAAAATATAAATGCAGATTTATCAGCAATTTCTTGGCCATATTTGCTAACTATGTTTATTTTTTGTTTAATCCATGTTTGCTCTTGCTATGTTATCATAATGTTAATTTTTTGAGACAATACAGTAAATGCTGTGACGACAGATTGGTGGCATAAATGCAAGATGGCTGCTGCAGGATCAAGCTGAAACTGGACTCAGCAAGCATGATGCCATAGTAATAAAATTTGTGTCTTTGTGTAAGTTTTCTTGTCTGTTGACCTGTGCCATAGTGTTTTGAAGTCCTACTCTGAGGAACAATTAACACTGCAAGAAGTCATCATCACAAGGCTTTAAATGGTAGTTCAAAAATGATACATTTTAAGAAGGAATGTACATCAAATGAGGACTATATGGAAGATTTAAACAGAACTAAGAACCATAATACAGCTTTATAATACAGGGCTTTCTAGTTAAGATATTCTTAGAAGATGTCAATGGAACAGAACAGGATGATGACTTCCTGCTGCTACATAAATTCTGAGGCAAAGCCAAGACATTTATTTTCAAAGCAGAAGCCAATGATCCCATAAAGTTACTCCATTAATTTTCTTTAACATCAAATGTCTTGCCCCTTCCTCCTTGGGGTTTTCCAAGCCCTTCTCCATGTTAGAAGACTCCTTCCATTTTATTACTCCACAAAAGGCCCTATGTCACATTAATTCTATCTCCAGGGACGACTGTAACGCACTTGCAGGCAATCAAAGGAGCATCTAGATAATGAAACACTCCCTCTCCCAACACAAATGGATTGTGCAGCCATCACAGTTCTCAAACACCTAATAACCTCAGGACATGAGATAAAGCTCAAATACTGAATTCTGATCGGTGTGGCACTAAACCACTAGTCTAAACAAAAATGTTTGATATCCTGTAGATTTAATAATTTAGTCTGATGGACGTTGGTGCACTGGAGTGACAGTCCTTCACTGTATTTTGATAAGTTAAAAAAAGACAATGCATAAGAATAAAAAATAGGATTATTAGGTTTTAAAAACAAATCATATATACACACACATTGATCAGTCACGGGAATCTAGAAAGGAAGAAGTGAAAAATACTCTATGAAACAGACTTTGAATGAGAAGGCAAAGTCATTTGGGCAAACTGGGTTAAATTTTCCAAAGCATCTATCATGAGAGAATGTACACAATATTTAAAAAATCCATATATTTTGGGTCAATGTCCAAAAACTATCAAAGGTTCTCCAGTGGGGAACTGTATTTGAAAATAATCCAAAACAGATACCATCAAAGACATTAGAAACTACAAAGTAGTCTTGCAGAGTATGACTGAGGCTACGTCTACACTACGGGGGCGGGGGGGGGGGAGAATCGATTTCAGATACGCAAATTCAGCTATGGGAATAGTGTAGCTGAATTCGACGTATCTGATCCGACTTACCCCGCTGTGAGGACGGCGGCAAATTGACTGCTGCGGCTCCCCCATCGACGGCACTTACTCCTACCTGGACTGGTAGAGTACACGCGTTGATTCAGGGATTATCGCATCCGACGAGATGCGATAAATCAGTCCCTGAGAGACCGATTTCTACCCGCCGATCCAGGCAGGTAGTGAAGACAAGCCCCAAGTATGTAAGTGATCTGCAGCGTTTTTAAATTTCCATATAAGAAATAACTTGTACATCACAAGCCATTATATTTTCCCCAGACACCCCATATTAAGTCCATTACTGTAGTTAAGACTACAACATGTCAATCCTCAGGAAACTAAACTGTTGTGCATCACAGACAGAGAACAGACAAGACCACAGTGCCATCAATACCCAAGGCCTCTTCTATGGCAGGGAATTGATTAGGTGAGATACGCCCAGATGATCCCAGGAAGTGAACCATGACCCATACTGCAGATGAAGGTGAACAACCTCCAAAGTCCCTGCCAATCTAACCAGGGGAAAATTCTTTCCCAACGCCAAATCTGGTGATTAGTATGCCCATGAACATGTGAGCAAGACACATTAGCCAGGTATCTAGAAAAAGAATGCCCTGTACCATCTCAGAACACTGGTCCTCCACATCGGTTGTCCCACCTCCAGCTGTGACCAATCTCTGATGCTTCAGAGAAAGGCAAAACAAACAAACAGAATACATCTGGTCAATTGTGCATCAGGAAAAAAAATTCTCTCTTACCCCTGCAGGAGACTGTCTGAAGCTCTGAAGTATAAGATTTGATTATAGTCATTATTTTAAGGCCATCCTGTTCTCCCCATGGCCCATGAAGGAAAGGTATCCCCGTAGGGAAGTCATAGATTCCAAAACCACACAGGTCACAGAACTTCTTCCAAAAACTGTATTAAAGCATACCTTTTAAAAATACATTTAATCTTGTTTTAAAGACTTCAGGCAATGGTGAGTCCATCACCTACTCTGATAAGCTAATCAAATGTTTAACAACCCTCAGAGTTAGGAAATTTGTCTTATTTTAAGGTTGAGTTTATCTAACTTCAACTTCTAGCCATAGGATCTTGTTATGCCTGTCAGCCAGGCTGAAAAGCCCCCCATTTTCCATTTACAAGTCCTTATACTCAGTGATCAAGTCATCTCTTCTCTTCAATAAGCTGAATAGGTTAAGCTCCTTAAGCCTCACATCTTAAAGCTTGTTCCTCAGCTCTTGGATAATTTTTGTGGCCCTCCTTTGAACTCTCTCCAGCATTTCCACATCCTTCTTGAAGTATGGACATCAGAACTGGACACGGTATTCTAGTAGTATTTTTAATCAATATTGGATATAGAGCCACTCTCACTTCCCTATTTCTATTTGATATTTCCCTTTTTATACATCCAAGGATTACATTTATAGTTTTTTCCACTGTCACTCCTTTGTTTTCATGAACTGCTTTTGAGTGGTGTGGCTCGTGTGAGAACATATATGATGCAATGTCCCCAGCTTCTACTACTTTCTAACAATAAATAATAATCAAATAATCAGCTTGAGACAGATATCCAGCATGGAAAATTTTAGGCCAAAAGGTTAAAGTCTGAGAAAGTTATAAGTAACCGAAAACAGTGTTTATTGTTATTTGGGGGGGGGGGGGGAGCGGTGTGCAGAGGAATTTCATCCAAAACGGTATGGCTGTTTCGGAGAACCAGGGTAGGGAAAATTTTATTGTTTTGCCCATGTTAAAAAATTCTACTGACCTTTTGTTTGAAATGGTCTAGCACCCCCATGCTCTAGAGCACGGTCTTGAAATCTGACCAGGGCATGGGAGGAACTGTGTGTCCACGGTGTGACTTTTGCTATCCCTGTGAAAATTTGCCCAGTTTTAGCCAAGTTATAAGTCTCTGAAAAATTGGAATTTGCACATGCTCAGTAGAGACTTAGATTTTAGCAGCTAAATTCCTTGGAAGATTCTGTTCAGAATGAACATGCTCCAGCCTGGAGCTCAACAGGACTTTACCTGTAGTTGCAGCTCTGGGATGCTCTGGGCCATGCCTAATCCAGGTCCAAACAGTTAAACTGAGAACAGAAAGCCTGTTTCTCCTCTGCTCTGAATGACCCCCTGCTATGCCCTGACTGCTGGAGAACACTGCCTTATGTGATGCAAAAGGGACAAGAGCTGTATCTGTAAGGGGGGCTGTGAGAATAGATTGGGACTAGGAACTTGAGGGGGGGGCAGGGAGAGGAGAGGGAAACTGGGACTGGGAATTGTGGAGATGAGACTGGGACTGGCTGGGCAGCAAACTGGGACTTGAATTCGGGGAGAGAAACAGGGAGGGTAACTGGAAGACAGCATAAGGGAGAAATACAGATTGAATGAGGGATCAGGATGTGAGCAGGAGACTGGGACTGGTTGGGGGAGCAGACTGGGGGGGGAGCGGGGGAGGGAGACGGATGAGACTAGGATTTGCTGAGCAAGGAGTCTGGATCTGGAGTGAGAAGTCTGAGGACTGGAGACTGACTGGATAAGTGAAGAGAATGGGGTTTGGATGAGAAACCAGGGTTGAGGAAGAGACAGGACTTCGACAGAGACAAGCTGGAGGGGATGGAGCGGAAAAATTCAAGGTTGGGGGGATATGTGTCTATGCCCACTAGAGAACACTCCCCTCCAGAACTTGGAATGGAACCCAAGATTCCTGAGTGTACTCATTCCTCTACTGACAGGAAGTGTCTGTGAAACCCTCTGCCAAAGTCTCCGTTCCCCTTTCAGTGCTGGTCCACATAGAGGATGATAACCTAACTATTGCTATTACCTACTTTCTTAGCTCAAAGTAGCGGAAGTCTGTTTGATGGGTCTAAAGGTTCCAACTCTGCTGCCAAAACACGTGCGTGTCTATATACGTTTTTTCAGTTTGGTTTTTTAAAACCTAGAAAGTAAGTGTGTGTGTGTGTGTGTGTGTGTGTGTGTGTGTATATATAAGGAGAGACAGAGACAAAATATGAATGAAAGGAAATATGAATGAGTATGTGGACAGTTACTTTTGCAAAGGAATATTTTTTCAGTTCTAAAAAGAAAAAAAGGTGCATTGGTAGGATGAAGTACAGTAGTTTGCTGTTTTCCTCCACCCAGAATATTTCTTTTAAATGCAGGAAAGTTCCTGGAGGATTATTTCATTTCTGCCCATGCCTTCTACTTTTTAAGCATAGCTCTCATTTTGCAGCACATTAAGAAAAAGTGCTGACAGGTGGTTTCAATTTAAAAGGTATGAGCAACAAGATCTAATCAGTGATACATTTTAAAAGAAAATCAAGGCTACAGGATATAACTAATTTAATCAATAGATTGTTTCCTTCACATAATAGTTGTGTGATGTGAACATACAGATAATCCTTATCTGTTGCCTTGTGTTTTAGCTCTATTACAGAAACTCTTCACTTAAATGAACGGGGCTCTTCAGGGACCAGGTCTTTGATAAGAATTTCTGCAGCAAAGCACTAGTATTTTTGTTACAGAGAAGATTTGGGAAGAGAGGAGAAGAGGAAGAGAGAACTGATGCTTTTTTCCCTCCACTTTACACAACTGCAAGTCCTTAAATTAGGATCACCATCCTTCCAGACTTTGCTGGAGTGAACAATGTAAGAAAAGCTGCCCCCGCAGAGGCTGAGCGTATTGCCTCCACTCCATTTTCATCCCATTAACAACAACGCTAAAACTTAAGTCAAGCAAGCAAATTATTGAACATACAGCACTGAATATTAAGTATTTTCATAGTGATACAGAAGAGATTTTATTAAAGATTACACCATTCATGTCAATCTAGAGCGGCTGAATGGCAAGAAGCCTAGTGTGGTAAGGACAGGAGACAAGGTGAGCTTTGTGAGTTCAATCCTTGAGGGGGCCATTTAGGGATCTGGGGCAAAAATCTGTCTGGGGATTGGTCCTGCTTTGAACAGGGGGTTGGACTGCATGACCTCCTGAGGTCCCTTCCAACCCTGATATTCTATGATTCTGGTTCTGTTTGTTCTTCAAAAGGAGCAAAATTATCTTTTACATAAGAATAGTACATTACAAACCCAGAAGTAACTAGGCAAGTAAGGTTAATTTAACTTAACATAGTGCAGGTGGCAAAGCAAAAGAACCAATACATAGTACGGTTTACCTTTCAAAGGACATCTAAAGCTGTATTATTACCTTTTGTAAGACATCTAAAGCGGTAAGCACTGCTTCCTGCAAACTTGTCAAAACTGCTTCAGTATAAGATGGCAGGATGAAAGGGGAGGCATCAGAACTGATTGGAACTGAAACAGCACCATGTAAAATGACACCAAGCTTTTGGAGATCATCCATGCTGAAACCAGTTTTGATGTGTTGGTAGAGAGCTGGGAATATCTGAATTAAAGCTGTGAGAAAAGGTTGGCTGGGTATGAAAGTCAATTTCTCACAAGTAATTGGAGGCTTTGTACTTTCTGAGCCAATCCTATACCAGGTGTTCCAGGCAGCCCACCAAAGATTTAAATCTTCAATCTCATCTGTTATTATAGGTGGCTCAGATTCATTATATCTTCCAATTCTTTCTCCTATAGAGTCAGTTCTCATGAATGATCTGCCCAGACCAGTAGCAGTCATTGCCCCTAGGAGGGCAGGCACATTAATAGCAGGTGGTGTATCAGGTTTCTCTGAGTCTCGGACAGGAGAGACAATTTGTAAAATTTCCTGAAAACTTTTAAGAGCAGCCAAGGAAACTTCATTGTTTTTGCTGAGTGCTGCAGACTGGATGTGATCAAGAAGAACATCCCAGGCGTTGGAAAAATCTCCTATAAACAAACAAACAAAAAAGTTAAATCAGTTTGAGGCTTTTTTTTTTGCCCCTTCATTTCATAGGAGTTGGAGGAGGGGAAAGGTACCTGCCTTTAACTGCTTTCTGAAAGAAAGAATCAGCTTGTGAACAAAAATGATGCACACACATAAAGGAGAATGATATCATTGTTTATACCAGTGACACTCAGACTTCATCCGAAGAAGTGGGCTGTAGTCCACGAAAGCTTATGCTCTAATAAATTTGTTAGTCTCTAAGGTGCCACAAATACTCCTGTTCTTTTTGCGGATACAGACTAACACGGCTGCTACTCTGAAACTCAGACTTCAGTGGTTCTAGAGCCAAATTAGCAATCAATATTACCCAAAAGGGTCACAGTAATGCGAGTTCATTGTTTAATTTGCTATAGTACTAGCTATTATATATATACATATATATTTTTGCTGTGAGAATAATACCTTCCTTTGAAAGGTAAACCTTTCAAGGTATATAAGGTTTACCTTTCAAAGGAAGGTATTATTCTCACAGCAATTAAGTTAATATCTTAGTGCAAGTTGATAAATTAATTGGTTAACAACATAGTAAAAGCATCCTTATTGGTTAATAATTAAATCACACAATGTTTAATATCATGTGCTGCAAAGAGCTGCAGGAGTCACATTAAAGAATTACTTGTGGCTCGTGAGCCTCAGTCTTCTGAGTATCACTGGTTTATACCAAATCTGCTACCTACATGTTGCACTACATGATTGGAAATGCATTTTCTTTATCCTGAATAGTGGAACTGATCCTGTTAGCATTATACATACCATCATTTTCATAGGGTCAAAGGCCAGAAGGGACCATTTGAATAGATCATCTAGTCTGACCTTCTGCACATCTCAGACCATTAAATTTCACCCCGATAATCCTATACTGCGCCCAATTATTTTAGTTAGATTAAAGCATTTCAGTGTCGTCGTCCCCCACCCACACACATACCTGCAGCTGGTGAGCTTAAGGGTACCTGCCCTGCCTGCGGCGGCTTGGAGCTTGGGGGCACTGCACAGCTTCCTGTGGGACCCTGCAGCTACCAGCCAACAGGGCTGAAGTCAGGGAGGTCTTTGGAAGTCACGGGTTCCGTGACTTCCGTGACCAAATCATAGCCTTACCCATAGCCAACACAGCTATGCCAGAAAACCCCACAGTGTAGACGTAGTCATGCTTGCAGAAGAGCGCTTCAGTTGGTATAGCTCATGTTGTTTGGGGAGATGGTTTAGCTATGCCAGCAAAAAAACTCCTTCTGCAAGATGCATCTCACTAAGGGGCTCTGCTAGCGTAACTATACCAGCAAAGCATTTGTAGTGTAGATAAGCCCTGAACTTGTTGCAGGGAACATGCAAGGCCCCTACAATGGCAGGGAACTGATTAGTTGAGATATGTACATATTGCAGCAGGCGATACACGCCCCATGCTGCAGAGGAAAGCTGAATAAACTCCAAGGTCCCTATCAATCTGACCTGAAGGAAAATTCCATCCCAACTCAAAAACTGGTGATCAGTTTGGCCCTGAAAATGTGAGCAAGATATGCCAGCCAGGCATCTATGAAATAGGATTCTTTGTACTATCTCAGAGTACTGATCCACCCCACTCAATGTCCTGTCTCCAGCTGTGGCCAATCTCTGATGCTTCAGAGAAAGCCAGAACCTTCCCCTCTTCCCACACACAATGTGTCTGGACATTGTACATCAGGGGAAAAAATTCCTTTCTGATCCCTGCAGGAAACAAGCTGAAGCCCAGATGTCTGTTGATTTCAACAGGAGTTAAATGTATATAAAGGACGTAGGGTCAGAATTGCCTTATTGGGTTACTGAATGATGTCAGCATTTTGGTGGCGACACCTCTGGATGCTGCTGCTTCTTGGCAGCATTTCGGCGGATGCTCATCCGCCAGCCAGTACGCGGGCACACTTAGACCCCCGGCAGACACCGAGTTGGGGACCCCTGGTCTAGAGCATTCTGGCCTCATTTCCCTGCTACAGTATACATAAAGAATTGGAACAAGTGAGTTACCATGGAAAACTGAAAATGGAAGACCAAATGCCGTGTTTAACAGCAGAATTATTCTCTCAGTATATTCATTAGCAACCCCCCTAATCTTCCCATAGTTCCCATTTCATTTACTAAATTAAGTTTTGTGTAACTAATATATTCAAAGTTTTGTTAATCCAAGAAACCATTTTAGGTATTTCCATTCATTTCCAATTTAGTGATTGTGCTTCTAGTTGACATAATTAAGTTAGAGAGTAGTGCCTATCTCTCTTAAATAACTCCCTCAATATCTGGCTACTATACAACATGCCCATGACTCCCTGAAGGTATAATTATCATGGAATTTTGTATCATCAAGAGAACCGTAGGAGCATATTGAATGGCTAGGGATCTGGTAGCGCATAATACTATTTGTAGTCACAGATTAAACTGACTTTTAAGGACACATTAAGATTTTCAATTTTTGTCATTACAGGAGGAAGTGAAGGTTGTTTGGGTGCCTTAACTGTACCTTTCCACTGCTTAACATGTATGGATTTCTATTAAATTTAACCTTAACTCTGAATTTTCAGCGTTTGCAATGTTTGGGGTTGTTTTAATTACAATATCCCTGCAATGTTTTTACTCATAAATCACTAGTATGTAGGCAATCTTAAATCTGGTTTTAGGCAGTTTAAATACACGACTAGAAAATAATCATGAAAACTTCACACCTCATAGTACACATATTTCACCACATTTATTCAAATGACTATTTCTACTATATCAGAATTTGCAGGATATCACATGTAGTCAAAGCCTGGTACATTCAATAAAAATTAATTAAAAGGAAACAAGCAGATCAAATATTAATTCTGTTTTTCTTTTCTTTTACCTTTTCTCATAGTCTGTCATGGCAATGTGACCACGTAGATGGCAAAAATTCATCAACACAGCTTGAAATTACCTTTCACCACCTATATACTTTCTTAAATCTATCATTTTTCCATGTATTTAAGAAATACCATTTCACACTTTACAGTACTTAGAAAATGAAGTTCCTTTTGCAATTCATTAACTTAGAACCCCTCTATGAGTACAAGCCTAACTCAACTGAAACATTTTGTCTATGTTAGACTGTAAGCTTATGTATGTTATACATGATTGTACAGTTCAAGCAGTGTCAGCACTTGCTAATTAATCCTATTTTATATAGCTAATAACTTTGCAAATTCCAAAATGGTGAGTTGTTATAAAAAGGGAGAGGAGAATAAGTAAGGAATGCCAGAGAGAGCTACAAGGAGGGTGAAGAAGCAGAGTGAAAAGAAAGAGGGTGAGAAAAGCAAAAGAGAAGAGAAGGGAGTGTTAAAAAAAAAAGGGGGGGGGAGAATAGCAAACATAAGAGAAGAAACAAAAAGAATGGTGAGGGGAGAGAAAAGGAAAGATTTAGAAGGAAAAAGAACTGATGGACTTACCACTATTAATTTCAGCTAGTGAAGAGATGCCAATCAAATAATTTGACCTAAAATAACATGTCCTTATTAGAGGGAAAGTGGATTTTCCTTAATAAATTTCCCTTGTTCCTTTTTTAAAATTATGTACATCATTGAATGTGCTAGTGGACGCCCCAGACACCCAATTTCCCCCCCTCCATTAATTAGTTCACTCAGATGCTCACGTGAAGGATTTAGGAAACTTTACAAGAATACAGCTTAAAAGTCAACAGCAGAAAATAGGACAGAAGAAAGCTACATATAAATGTTAAAATATCATGGCCTATTAATAGTTTGAGACTACAGAACATGTTTTTTTGTGTTAGGAATTCTCTCTCAGCAAATGAGGGGAAAAACCAGCATTTTTGGCAATGATTCAAGAAATGCTTACAAAATTATGATTTTAACAAATATTTGACACCTGGAGTCAGGAATAATAGAATTAATATCAAATGTAGCTGCACTTGGTATTTAAGAATTCTAATTCTGAGCACCTGGGATTACAGGCTCCACAACAGTTATCACGTTTCAAAGCATACTATAGAATACATAGCTATAAGATTAAATACTTTGCCAGTGATCTAATTGAAAAAAAAAAAAACTTATCACAAAACAAATTAAAAGTTACATTACAACATCTGGCAATAATATTAAATATCTGAATTGCTAAATTTGACAGAACTGGGATCTAGTGAGCCAATTGCCAGCACTGAAATTGTCCGAGCAAGTTTTATTAGTTAAAAAACAAAACAAAAAAACCCACTTCTCAAACATATAGAGAGCCTACCTAAAGGTTGTAGTAAGTATCTCCTAGTGTTGAAGATTCTCGCTACTCCGGCCAATGTTAATACCCATGTCTCAGCCCATTGTTTCTCTGCTGTATCCCTTGAATGATGAATGAGAATATTGCCTCCTCCTGACTCAATCTTCTCTTTGTCAGCTGTCGTGGAAGACTCTCTAACCCTATCCAACAGGTGAAACAGAACCTACGATATTCAGAAAAAGGATGCATTGATTATTTCAGTCACATATTTTAACTCATGTAAATGTAACAAGGAAATAATAAAATCGCGCACATTTTCTCCCTTTCCCTGTTAAGTCCCAGAAGGCACCCGAAGGATTCCTCTATTTCACACAACCTTCCCAGCACCTGTGGAGGTGAGGGTACCTGAATCAGCCAGCTGATCGGATAGGCTGACACATGGATCTTGAGATGAAGGGCCACTATCACCATGATCAGAAACTTTGAGAATATCCTTAGTGCTAATAAAAGACCAACACACTGACAATGCTCCATTCCCAGAGAAAATCTGAGAAACCTATGAAGTGCCTCTGTAGTTATGTGCATTTGTCTCTCTTTTAGATTGGCTGATGTCAAGAGATCAATAGGTCTGAAGTGCCAAGCAGATGGCATGTGTGACAGCAGAATCAAGCTAGGTATGATCATAGTGGAACATGAGTCCCACAAGGGACAAGGAGTCTGCCCAGGTTCTAGGCAAAGGGATTTTTACACATAGGCTTGATTGGCTGGAGAGGGTCAGAAACAGAAGTGGCAGAAAAGCTAAGCCTCCTATTAGATCATCCCAGTCACATGGGTAAGGAATTACTTTTTTCCATGTGCTCTTCCCCGGGAAAAGGAAGTTGCTTTAATTATTTCAAATAGAAACAAGATCCATGTCTTCCTTTCTAGCTGAAGTAGAAGGAAGACTGGGTCTTTGTTGGCCATGCTGCTCTCACAAAGGGCACTAAAATTTTATGCAAAGGAATCATGCATCTATTTGTGTGGAGAGTGTAAGAATGACCAATACAACAGTCCAAGACCAGAGAATACAAACTGAAATACTGGTGTCAATTTCATGAGCACTTTTGTGTAGGGTGGGGGGGTGGGGAAATCAAGATGATGTAAAAATGGTGATAAGTTGGCTTAAGGGCAGCACAGAAGGGAAAAGAAACCATCTGGAAGCTTTAAGAAAGTTTAAGATAAAATAGTTCCTAGCTACTTTGTGTGTGTAAATTATATATTATCTTTAAAAATCCTATAAAAATTAAAACTGGTATTACAATAAACATGTGTAAGAGACGGAGGCTACCAAAATGTGGATGCTGTATTCTACAGCAGCTTTTTACTTAGTACCTTCCATATAACTGTGTGCCATGTTGAATGTTGAAGTAAAGTTCCATGGGCACCAATTGTAGAAAACAATGTCTGTCCAGCACTCTTTCTAACTGCAGGTCGTGGGTCTACACAGAGTTCCCCCAGCTTGGCATAGAGACAGAGCCAAAGGCAGTCAAATGGCGGTGCTGGGTGGAAAGGACGGTTTAACAACACTCCCTTCTCTTCTGCCTGCTTCTGCAATACTGCTTCCTCTTTGTTCAGCTCTTTTTCAATGGTTTCACCTCTTTGGAAGAAATAATCTGAAATATTCCACTACAAACAAAAGAATTTAGGAACACATTTTATGTATGGAAAAATAAATATTTAAATACACATTGATAATTACTCTGATTGTGAAGGAGCAGTTTTTCTAATTTGCCCATTTTAAAGTGTACTGCAAAATATGTCCTAAGCAACTCTTAGTTCTACTGATTAGAGAAGGATTACATTTAATTATTCTTACAAACAGAATATCAAGAACTGTATTTATTTCCAGGCTTCAGTTTTTAGGCTCTCAAGACACAGATATATACAAACTGAAGCATCAGAAAAGGATTATTAAAATCTATAATGTTTCTACTAAAAATGTTGATAATCGTCATATCTCTGCAACTCCATTCATTTTACATAATCATGTTTGTTTCAATAATAATTTACTTAAAGACAAATTCTTATCACTACATTTACATTGACTTCAGTGGGAGTTTTATGAGAGAATGACATGCAGTTTCCGGCCTTTATCGGGATAACAGTCGAGACATTAACTAGCATTAACAAAATTAATTAAATAAAAGCCACACTAATCCTCATTTTGAATGCAAATTAAACTCACCAGCAAACCAATTGATGTTAGGCTAATGTTTAGTTCTTGATTGTGAAGTCCAAAGCTTCCTGCAACTTCAACAACTATTTGTAGGCAAGTGCAAGGCATTGTTGGTAGGAAGTCTGTCACAACCAACTGAAGACACTGGAATGCAGTCCGTATTAAGGACTCTCTTGAGGAAATTGAAATAAGGTACATGTTATTTTTTTTAAGAGGGTACAAATCATTCTATTATTATGCACCAGGATGCAACATTACTACAGACGGATAATCGGATTTACACACTTGCTCTAGAGTCAAGCAAAATTTGAAATACATTTAGGATTTGTCCCAATTGGGGAAAAAAGATGTTTGTGGATTTTGTGTTTGGTGTGGACTTTTTTTTGTTTTGTTATTCTTAAGAATGAGTTAGCTAGCACATTCTAAATTCTAATGCAGAGAAGGCAAGTTATACTTTAGCACGTTGGCTAGACCAGCTGAAGCACAGGCTCCCCCAACTCTGCCAGCTTTCATATGCTGAGATACAACTTGCTTGTCTAACTGGAGTTTTAGAACTTGTTAGCTAACATTCTATAATAAATCTTTATCCTTGGCAATATAAACCCTAAATTAGGTGACAAGACCGAACTGGCCTGCAGAAAGTGGCAGGAAAGGAAGAAACCAAGGAGGAATGACAGGATGCAGCTAAGCAACTGGATGTAGCAGGAGAGAGTGTCTAACATGTAACCCCCTTTCTTCTCTTTTCTTTTCATTTTACGGGGTTAAACCAAAAACCTTATTGCTATAATTAAAGCTGCTGTTTCTACTTGCTCTGAGTCGTCATGGAAACAGTCAAAGACGAAGTGGTCGTACAGAAACTTGAGTGGCTTCAAAAAAGTAGATGCTATTTCAGCACACTAGAAAGTGTACAGAAGTTGTTATCCATGCACAGTAGCTGTTTTGAAGCTGATGTGGAAGTCTTTGTTAAGGGCAGACATTCCTGCACATACACACACATGCCCTTAGTTAGAAGCTGGAAGATCCAGTCCAGTCAGATCCAGCTCAGCCTTGCAGGGAGAAAATGGAGCTGGCAGGGGTAACCCAGACAATCTATGGATTGGCTCTAAATAAAGGTTCCTGTAATTTTACAGAAATCAGTGGGATTGAGATTAGAAAACCCCATAAAAGAGGAATCGCAGACTGGAGTCAACTCCTTTGTGAGCTGTACTACATCACTAAATCAAAGACACCATTTGAGCCTAACAGCTACAGAAATTGTCAGGTTCTTTCCTTATTTCAAGTTGTGTGCACGCTCTGTATTGTGGATGCTGAAACAATTGATTATGTGGTACAACTGTTTTATCTAATTGTCAATATAATACCTACGGTGAGACTATATGAAAGAAGATTACCTCTGATTGTCAGAAGTGCCGATGACTATTTTCTGTGACGTTTAAATATAAATATATTTTAGGGTTTAGGCCAGGGTTATATGCTTCATTTTAAAGGAAAATAACTCTCTAATTAGTGATATTAGTCAAGCAAGGGTGCGCTGTAACTGCTGTGCTGTAATAGTTTATCTTTGGAGTGTTATTTAGTAAAGAGACATTTGAAATAGCTAAGTGTGTGTGTGTGTGTGTGTGTGTGTGTAAGTGTAAGTGTAACTGTCTTATGGTAGAGACGGGTACCAAATTCCTAGGAAAAGGAAAGTGAATCATATTATAATTTCCACTTTTAATATTCAGAGGGTTCCTTTGGAAATTCATCCATTCATCTGTGCAAATACTGTAAATCAACATAGGTTATGTGTAGGTTATATACAGTTGTATTCAAGCTTCACTCTGGAGCTTCCCTAGTATTTGATCTAGAGTTCACCATGCTTGGATTATAGAAGCATGGCTCAATCCAGAACATAAATACAGAAAAGGTCCAGAGTGTAGTTTGAACAGAGGTGCATCAGTTCTATACTGGCTGAGCCCTGTGAATAAATGTTTGTTTTCAGTTACCAAGCTCTACAAGTAAGAGAAAAAACAGTTACCTGTCTTTTGTAACTGTTGCTTTTTGAGATGTGTTGCTCATGTCCATTCCATTCTAGGTATGTGTGTGCCCACATGCACAGCCATCGGAGATTTTTGCCTTAGCGGTATCTGTAGGGTCGTCTGTACCATTCCCTTGAGTGCTGCATTCATGCGTTGGTATATTAGGTGCTGACAACCCTACGTCCTCTCAGTTCCTTCTTGCTGGCAACTCCAACAGAGGGGTAGGAGGACAGGTAATGGAACAGTCATGAACAACACGTCCCGAAGAACAAGTTACAAAAGGTAGGTAACTGTTTTTTCTTCTTTGAGTGCTTGCTCACGTCAATTCCATTCTAGGTGACTCACAAGCAGTATCCTCGGAGCTGGGTTCAGAGTTCAGGGTCTTGTGGCTTGTAACACTGCTCTACAGAAGCCAGCATCGTCCCGGGCCTGCTGGGTAAGTGCATAATGGGACGAGAATGTGTGGACGAATGACCAGGTGGCCGCTATACAGATGTCCTGGATAGGCTGAGGAGGTTTATGCCCTGGTTGAATGGGTGGTTACAATCGCTGGAGGTGGCACCTTTGCCTGATCATAGCAGCAGTGAATGCAGGCAGTGATCTAAGAAGAAATTCTTTGAATGGACACTGAACGATCTTTTATCCTGTCGGTCACCGCGACGAACAATTGCAGCGACTTGCGAATTGACTTGGTCCTTTCAATGTAGAAGGCTAGCGCTCTCCTGATGTCTAGGGAATGCAACCTACACTCCTCGTCAGTCTTTGGAAAAAAAGAGAGGTAAGTAAATGTTGTGGCCCGTATGAAACTGCAAGACCACCTTGGGCAGAAAAGCCAGGTGCAGCTGCAGCTGGATCTTGTCCTTGTAGAAGACTATGTAGGGTGGTTCTGAGGTAAGCACCCTAATCTCAGAGACCCAGTGGGCGGATGTTATCGCAACTAGGAACGTGACTTTCCGGGACAGGAGAAGAGAGCAGGAAGCCAGAGGCTTGAAGGGAGGGTCCTGTGAGCCATGACAGCACAAGATTCAGATCCCATTGTGGAACAGGGTCCCTGATGTGCGGGTAGAAGCTCTCGAGGCCCTTGAGGAACCTGGCAGTTATGTCCTGGGAAAAAACCGACCAATCCTCGAGCAGTGGATGGAAAGCCGAAATAGCGGCCACGTGGACTTTGATAGTTGAAAGGGAGAGGCCTTGGAGCTTCAGATGCAGGAGGTAGTCCAGGATCAACTGCAGCAAGGCCGACTCGTGCCGAATACCTTTATCGGAGGTCCAACAAGCAAATCACTTCCATTAGGCCAAGTAGGTCATTCCGGTGGAGGGCTTTCTACTTCCCAACAGGACCTACTGGACAGTAGCTGAGCATTCCTGCTCCTCTGCATTTAACCATGCAGCAGCCAAGCAGTCAGGTGCAGCGCTGCCAGGTTCAGACGCAAAAGACTGCTGCGGTTCTGGGACAGCAGGTCGGGCCTGAGTAGCAGCTGTAACGGAGCAGCCACCAATAGGTCCAGCAGCGTGCTGAACCAGTGCTGGCATGGCCAAGCGGCACTATGATGATCACTTTTGCTCTGCTTGATTTTCATGAGGACTATGTGAATCAGCAGCAGTGAAGGGAAGGCGTACAACAGAGCCCCCAACCACTGGAGCAGAAAAACGTCCAACGGGGAGCCTCTGTCGATTCCCTGAATTGAGCCGAAAACGTGTCATTTCCTGTTCTGCGTGGATGCGAACAGGTCCACCTGGGGAATCCCCCAACCTCTGGAAGATGGAGCTGAACACTTCTGGGTGGAGGGACCACTCGTAGCGAGACAAGAAGGTCCTACTGAGGTGATCTGCCAAAGCATTCCTGGCCCCAGGGAGGTGAGCGGCTATGAGATGGACGCCATGTTGTACACAGTAGTTCCAGAGCTTGAGGGCTTCATCATAAAGAGCAGATGGTGTGGATCCACCCTGCTTGATATAGAACATAGTCGCTGTATTGTCCATCAGGACCTGGACCGGTTTTTAAGTGAGGTAAGAAGGCTTGGCAGGCCAGGCGAACTGCTCTGAGCTCCCTGATGTTGATGTTAGGGAGCAATCGTGACTCGACCAACGATACTGCGTGCTGACATTGCCCTGGTGGGCTCCCCACCCCAGATCTGAGGCATCGGAGATGAGGGTCACCGATGGGGATAGAGCCGCAAAGGGAACTCTCTCCAACACCAATACAGGACTCTGCCACCAAGTGAGTGACGACAGTACGTGGTCCAGGACCCTGACCACATGGTCCATGCTGTGTCTGTTGGGGATGTAGACCAACGCCAGCCACGTCTGCAAGGGTCTGAGGTGGAGCCACATATGGCAAACCACTTAAGTGCAGGCCACCATGTGGCTCAACAAGTGCAGGCAGATGTGAGCGGTAGTAAGAAGATGTGCTTGCTTGCATGCATGAGATGAGGTCCACCATGTCTTGGAAATGCGCCTCGGGGAGAAAGGCTCTCGCCTGAGTAGAGTCGATGACTGCTCCAATGAACTCTATGTTTTGTACTAGAATTAAGATTGACCTTCTCATTTAACAACCACTCAAGGTCATGACAGGTGGAACAAACAAGATCGAGATACTGTCGCACTGGAACCCGAGACCAACCCTTTATTAGCCAATCATCAAGATATGGGTAAATTTGAACACCCCAGCGCCTCAGGTAAGCAGCCACTAGTCCTATGCACTTCTTGAACACTCTTGGGGCTGACGGGAGACCGAATGGCAATGCTTTGAATTGGAAATGGCACTGGCCCAGAGTAAAACGAAGGAAGCACCTGTGCCCTGGGAAAATGGAAATATGCATCCTTCAGGTCGAGGGCAGCGTACCAGTCTTCCGGATCCAGGTAGGGGATGATGGAGGCCAGGGAGACCATGCGAAACTTCAACTTTTTGAGAGACTTGTTGAGACGACGCAAGTCCAAAATGGGTCTGAGGCCCCCTATTGCTTTTGGGATTAGGAAGTAGCGGGAGTAGAACCTCTTTTCCTTTCATGTCTCGAGGGACCTCCTCCACCTCCCCCAAGCGCAGGAGGTTCTCAACTTCTTGGACTAGGAGTTGTTCGTGAGAAGGGTCCATGAAGAGGGATGGGGAAGGGGGGTGGAAGGGAAGGTCGGCCATAATCTGCAAGGTGTAACC